CTCCATCATGTCATGCTCCATCATGTCATCCTCCATCATGTCATTCTCCATCATGTCATGCTCCATCATGTCATGCTCCATCATGTCATCCTCCATCATGTCATCCTCCATCATGTCATGCTCCATCATGTCATCCTCCATCATGTCATTCTCCATCATGTCATGCTCCATCATGTCATCCTCCATCATGTCATTCTCCATCATGTCATGCTCCATCATGTCATCCTCCATCATGTCATGCTCCATCATGTCATCCTCCATCATGTCATCCTCCATCATGTCATCCTCCATCATGTCGTCCTCCATCATGTCATCCTCCATCATGTCATGCTCCATCATGTCATCCTCCATCATGTCATGCTCCATCATGTCATCCTCCATCATGTCATGCTCCATCATGTCATCCAACATCACTTGTACCGCGGCTAGCACATCATCATGCAGGGCAGGATGGCGGCGGTCCGTTGCTCCATCATGTTGCTATCTCCGTTGCTCCATCATGTTGCTATCCAGGTCCGTTGCTATCTGTTGGCCGCGGATGTGGCGCTCTTCGCACGCCCCTCTGTAATACAGGGTCCGCCATATTTAGGGCAACGCATGTTTTCTTATTCCTCAATGAGACAAAGAGGGGAATCAATTCTTTTATTGAATAAGCCAATAACCAAGAACTACCTGAACAATTCTCAAACGTATTTTCACGATATGACCAACCTTATTTTTACAACACTTCTCTTTAATTTCACTTCTTGTTTGTCTGTTTGTCCGTCTGCTACAAATCTTGTAATCGAAATTTATTACACTTCTACTTATCCTATCGATCTGAAATTTTGCACACTTGCGTAAAGTTGGAGACAATGCATGAATCAAATGACAAAATAGATGATTTTATAAACAAAAAAATTTTTTTTTCATTATTAAAAAACTGAAAAAATAATTTGCCAGCTACAAATAGAATAATTGATATTTGACACACTTTTACCTGTCCAATTGATATGAAATTTTGCACACTTGTGTGAAGTTAGAGGCAATGCATGAATCAATTGACAGAATAAATAATTAAAAAAAAATTTATATTAAAAAATTGAAAAATTATTTTTTTCAATATTCGAAAATAAAATTAGAAATTCATTGTACATCTATAACATTGGAATTACTGGATTCTTTAGACGTGTTGTTTTTTTAAAGTAATTTTTAACCGTATATTATAATTGACTGCCTTCAACCTACGCTGGGAAGATTCACGCGAGACTCACTGCATTTCTTGAGGGATCAAGTCACATTCTCTTGTCAATTTAGACTTCAAACTATACAAAGAATCATGAGGTGTTCTGCAGACCCTGCTCTCTATAATAGCCCGCGCAGAAAAGACGATTCAAATCAGAGCTTCTTGAGGGTCATTGATTTTTTAACGGGATCTAAGCCTTTATCAAGTTTTGGGTCATGTTTGAGCCATGTGATGGGGAAGAGTCTTGTTGAAAACTCCATGCTAAACCGTTGAAGTGTTCACAACCACACGGTGAAAACTCAGCTTCTAAAATGTCCTAAATGTATCGCTGACTGTTCAACTGTACTTCTGAGTGGACAGAAACGTTTGAAAACTTCCCAGTGGCTGTTACCGCGACCCAAACCATCACGGACATGGGATTTTGACGTCGCCTTACTGTTCTGGTTGCCACAGATTCATCCCGCCTCCACACTCTGTCATTTTGACGGTTAACGTTTTGTTCAAATTTCTTCAGAATGTGCTGGCATCTTTTGAGCCTCATTCGTTCATGACGGTCTGTTGGTTCATGGTGGTCATATTAAATTGAAACGTTTAAGAATTGTTAAGGTAGTTCTTGGCTATCAGCTCATCCAATAAAAAATTAATTGGTTTCATTGAGAATTAAGAGAAACATGAGTCTCCATGAATATGGCGTACCCTGTATTTCTAATTGGATCATTTAATCTAGCAATATAATTTTAGGTGTGAGAAGGAACATTGTCGGGCGACAAGAACGACAACTTTGCGTTGCAGTAATTGTTTATGTTGTGTGGTGAGTGACAAGCGCATCAAAACTTTTATTTTTATTGATTTGAACTCCGGAGCGGCAACCGCCAACTCTTGAACTGCAGCGTCGACCACGTGAGTAACACACGCGCTGTGATGTGCTAGACGTGGTGCAGGTGGTGTGAGTAACACACGCGCTGTGATGTGCTAGACTCTCATAGCCGTTATCTGCTGCCCTCATAGCCGTTATCTGCACTGCTCAGCACTAGTGTTGGAACATGTTCTATATTCCCAACTCTTCTATTGAGGCGCTTGATTGATGCTGATTCTTACCACCTGAAAATAATTAGTAAAATACAGCAAGTATGGTTGAATTAGACGCTGGATATTTTTTCTATAGATGCCCCTTATTACAGCACTTCTTCCCCTGGAGTGCTGGTAGCCTTCTTTAAGGCTCTGATTGAGAACCGCGAGAAACCTATGAGTTTCTTCACAAATTATGCTGGACTTTACTCCACTCGTAAATGAGATGGCGATATGGATTTTTCCATGTTTACCCAGCTATTTATTTATAAACGGTGGCCAGGAAGAAAAAATTTGTAAAATTTGTATTTAAAGTTATAATGAAAGGAAATTTCAAGAAACTTTGATCATTATTGTTCATCAAGTCTGCGACTTTTACACTTTTTTCGAGCAATAAACAGGTTGTAATTTTTATTCTCCACTGAATGGTATGCTAGGCATTCCTATATCAGCCTCCTTGTTGTAGAGATTATGTACCAAAAAATAGTTATGATCGAGCCTGCTGATACGCGGAGGGAAAATCCCGCATACTAACTGCTCAAATACAGACGTTGTGGAAGGCATGAGGGAAAAGAGACGTCGTAAATTACTGAACTGTCAGTTCACGACGGGCGGCATGGCGAAGATGAACTCAATGAGGGGCGAAGAATAATACGCGGCCTGTGGTCGGCCTAGTCCAATTAGTTATAGCTCACCGTTGGCCATTCGTCGGCCACCTGAAAGCGACCAGTTGCCGTAAGAAAAGGGCTGGTTAGGATATCGTGTTACAAAAAGTACAAGCTCGAGGGTGGCGACTGGCCGATCTTCGGGCAGATCAAGGATTTCACACGATGGTTGCGAAAACCTCGCTCTCAGACTTTGCTGCACTCTGACTACTAGCCTTAATGCCTGCTTTATTACATCACTTCTCACCCTGGACTGCTGGAAGCCTTCTTTAATGCCTGTTTTATTTCAGCACTTCTCCCCTTTGTAATTACTGCTTCTCAGTTATCTATTTTTCATTAAGAACTTTGCACAAATATTCCGTTTTCGACCAAACTTGCGTTCGATTATTCCAATATACAGAGGATTTCTCTTTATATATTTAATTTTCCAGGTTATTAATTCGAATATTTGCTCCTTATACAATTTTCTCTTTATCGCTCATATTCATTCCAAAAGTCATTTACTTGCGTAAAGAACCAATACTAGTTAAAATTCAGAGTAATGTTTTGTATGAAATAATATTAAAACTGAGCATATCTGGCTAATATTTGCATGAGTTTCATATTTATATTCACAAATAATTTCTCGCCTCAGCAGATCCCGCAAGATGGCCGGCACAGGCACGATTGCCGGTCCCGCTCCTGTTGCACCAGCTATTACCATGGATGACAGATGCATTAGAATTTACTGCAACATTGTCGGTAACTTGGACCTGAGCCCCAGGGTCATGCGGTCCATGCTAGACAAGGAATGTGACGACAAACGAAGCAACGAGACCTACAGGCAATTGATGGAACGGAGGCTTGGAAGAGCTTACGGCAACGGAGAGTGGAAAAAACTGGCAAGCTTTTCAGCAAATGTTTTAGAAACTTCAACTGATTCCACCAAGCTAGATGTCACGCCGCTCTTCCTTCTCTTCACAAAACTTTTCGGTCTCGGCAAGGGCGGCGCCTTCAAGGATCCTACGGCGCTGCTCGCCAAGTTGGGCGCTGTCAAGAAGCTGCGCAATGACGTCATGCACGACCTGGACAACGCAGTCGACGCACAGAAATTCACTGAATTGACAGCAGCGCTGGAGGAGCTGGTCCGGGAAGCGGGGAGGTTCTATGCTCTTCCCCAGGCAGATGTTGATGCCGAGGTACAAAACCTCAATAACGATATTGACAAAGTGAGAAGAATGGACAGCCAAATCATTTATTACTGGTGTGCGAGGCTGGCATCCAGCGGAAAGAGGGCCATAAGACTTCTCTGGAAGGCCAAGTTTGAACATGAAAAACTTTCGCTAAACCATGAGACGGTGCAACGTCAGGAAGTGTTCCACGCCCTCGACATGAATGTGCGAGAAACCGACGGAGGGAAAACTGTTTCCTACACCGAAATATTTGAGGCTCGTGAGAAGGTTATGGTGGTAACGGGCGTCGCCGGCGCTGGTAAAACAACCCTTGTCAAAAATATTGTGCTGCAATTTTTCAACCCCCAACAAACAGCTCCTGGTTACTTGAGGCCGTTTAATCAACTCATCTTCTTCGAGTGCAGGGATCGCACCACACCAACACTGAGTGACGTCATCCAGCAGCACTACGAAGAACTCTGCATTGAACTATTGAAAGAAAATGTCCTCATGGCTCTCCTGCGCCTCGATGTCTTATTCATCATCGATGGCTTCGACGAAGTCAACGAAAATTCCAGAAAAGTCGTTCTCGAGATTATCATGAAAACATGGCGCTCCAACTGTCGTGTGCTGATCACGACTCGTCCTCATGCCGTGAAGGAGCTGGCACCGCTGCTGCGCCTGAACGATGTCAGCTCCACTCAATACGAGATCCTGCCGCTCACGAAGCTTGCCGACCAACTTGCATTCTTGAGGCGATATGAAGCGGCCCTGGGCGGCGACACTCTGACTGGGGAGGTGTCGAAGAGCTTCGAGTCGCTCAGTGAAGATGTCAGAAGTCTGTTTACGGAACCCATCAACTTGGTTCATTTCTGCGAGATGCATAAGCACTTCCCTAAGGAGATATCCTCGTGGAAGATGCCCGGGGACGTGGCGCCAGTCAAGCTGCGTCTGTACAAGGAACTCATCCAAACTAAACTTGCGGGTTCGATTAATGAGGACTCAGACATCCTGATAAAGGATATGTTTAATGCCGTCGGGGCGGCAGCGCTGGAGCTGCTCAACGACGACGTCTTGATTCTGATGGAAGCAGACCATCTTGTCATCAAGGAGAAGATTCAGAAGACACCTAAGAGCAATGATGAGGTCGATCCTGCAGCAGTGCTCTCAGTGATGCTGAAGGAGCACAAACCTTTATGTTCGAACAGGAGTTCAAGCTATGAATTCAAGCACAAGAGTGAGCAGGAAATGTTCGCTGGTAATTACATTGTTCAGCGCATCATTGGAGGGTATGCCGACTCCCTCTACAGCATCCTGGGAGTCCCTAAGGAGGGAATGAGTAGGTGAGTATATACGGCAAATAACCTGATTTATCACCGCGCACTGAGCAGAGAGCAGCATAGAGCTCCCAGCTATGAGCAGTGAGCTGCATAATGTTCCCAGCCATGAGCAGTGAGCATTCTAAATACCTGGAGAGACAATCAAATAAATAGCACAATATACGATAGTTATGGAAATCCTCAATTCAAATGTGTTGCTCACATAGGGGCTCCTTGTAAGCGATAGTTCATAAGCAATCTTCCGCTTGAGCAATAAGCTCACGCATGCAGACATACGCCCAAAGCTGAATAGTTTTTTTGTTGAAAAAAAAATTGTCTAGCAAAAAATTTTACCGGGATCTAAAAATACTGCTTGCAAGTGCTGCAAAATGAAGAATGGAAGCATTTCTAACGTCTAATACAATACCGATATCCTCGTATAATTTGTAGTTCTTCAGAAATAACCAAATTCATCCTATACTTAAATGTAACTCTATAATGAAACCTGATGATACAACGAAATAGAGTAGAAAGAACAGAACAAAAGCAACTAACTTACTTGCATATAATCGGAATACGCTCTGCAACCTGTGCCATCGTGTTCAGCTGGCCCTCCCAGTGGTATCGACTGTTGGTTAGGTACGTAGCATCGTAGGTAATGATAAACTTTTGTGTTTCGACTACACAAATTGATCCTGTTGACATGTTGATTTAGAAATTAGAACCTCAAGCATATGAATAGGAGCAGCTTAAATAACATGCTCGTGTCGACATGCCCAAAGTTGAAAATTTCAACCGCAGCCAAAACCTTGAACACAAAAATGCGTACCTAGTCATGATGAATGTCGCTTGCCGACGAGAACTTGAGAAGTACCGTACCTGTGGCCACGAACCATTCAATTAACAACTGATGTAGAGCATATTCCTCAAGCTGAAATATTCTATTATTGTCGATGAAAGAACTTGCATCGTATAATTGCTGTGTTTCGAAAGAAGTAATGGTGAAAGATACACCATACAACTACATCCTAAAAAAATACTCGTAGGAAAAACTAACAAATTTTCCTTCGTAATTGAAAATTTTCAGTCAAATACGTCATAATTTAAGGAAGTCAACAAAATAGAAAAGTGAGTGTTAATCTTAACGAAGTAAAGTTACTGCAGTAGCTTGATTACAGTAAACAGCCACCCGATCACACTTAACAGGAGTCGACAATGTTTTTGCATTGGAAGAGTTAAGCTCTAAAATGAAATTCGTTTCAAGCTTTCAAATTATCAACTGCACTCTAAATTCCTGGATTGATAAACAAAATTATAACGGAATATACGATAGTAATGTGAAATCAAATAAGTTGCTAACAAATGGGATCCCGTTTAAACACGTTCACCCTGCCTCCTTGTACGCCATAGTTCACACCGACACGACAGCAAGGGCAACGAGAAAGTTTTTGTACCGCACTGGACTAGTGTCTTCAGAGGTTCCCGGAAATTACAACGAACGTTCTTATGCAATCTTCATAAATTAAGCTGTTGGCCGTAGGGATGCTTAGAAATTCCAATTTAAAGCATATCTGCAAGAGCTACATCTTTAGCCGCTCAAGCAGACATATGCTCAAAGCTGAACATTTCTATTGTAGCCATCATTATTTTGTGGGCTTGAAGAACAGTAATCTCCAAACAAGTCAAAATCAAGGAAACACTTCCACAAGCACTCAAAATATTCATTTTCATCCTGTTCAATGTCTACAAATGCAATGGTTTTCACCATCAAATTGTTTAAAGCTCTCTGAAGGAGACAAAACTACAATACCTTTTCGATAAGCATTGAGCACTCCTCACTACGTACTGCTTCACGGTTAGTTCTAAACTGGTTAGTTCTAACTATTGCTGCAACGGCTAATGCTCTGTCCGGATGGGGGGTGCGGGAGGTAGACCCCCACATACCCGCATTCCCCCGCATGGCGGGAACTTGTAAGCTGTAATACTGAAAGCTCTTTTCGATGTGCACTTGAATTAAAGAATCATGTAAACCTTTCCAGTTGGAGCTTGACTGGTATTGCATGTGCAATTATCGAGTAGATTATGGTTTGTGTATAAGAGCACAAGCGGCGCATACATGTTTGAGCGCACGTAATGCAAGTTCACCTTTGATTCTTACACTCATAGGATAGATTCGATTTTCAGTAAACAACTCTCGTAACATTATTTCTGGTATTTCTTCTTCCGGTGTATTAAGCGACCTCTGGGAATCTATACAAAAATTTACTCATATTAATAGATTGAGTAAAAGAGATTTGGTTTGCGGTATTCTTCTGCGTTATTCATCATATTCATAACATAACATAACATAACATAGTGATGTCGGCGCTGAAGTGTAGGCCTGATGTGGCCTGTCGCCGATTCTTTTCCTTTTCGTGCCTTGTTCATAGATCTAAACTCGTGTCATTTGACCGGATCTTTTCATGACTGGCGATAGTTTGAAGTAGCTACTAAACTTCCACCGGGTTCGATAAGGAGCTAGGCATTTCAAATCTGAACATATATTTTTCCATAGCTTTATCTAGTCTGTTCTTGAACGCGTTCATACTTATCCCTTCAAGCCTGGAATTATCCTTGTTGCACGTCTTTGAACATTCTCTATTAAATTTCTGTCCTTTTCAAATCTCGGTGACCACACAACATTTCCAAACTCTAGACTCGGGCGTACGACGGCAACAAACAACTGCTTCATCGTTTCTGCATCTAGGAACTCGTATGAGCGTCTGATTAGTTCAAGAAGTTTGTTGGATGTGTTAGCTTGCGTTTCAACATGCTTAGAAAATTTCAGCTCCTTGTCGACATAAACTCCGAGATCTTTTTCCACACTAGACTTTTCAATCATTACCCTCTCGTTGCAACCATGTCTTCTCATACTGTAATCTTGCATACTTCATGGAGTAGAATAAGTTATAGATTTCTTAATATGATCGAGTATCGGCTACAAATTATTTTTCACATTCGATGATGTGACTAAGAAGTGGGTATAATATGAAGAAGCGCCATGTTCTAAATAGGTGTCTTGAAAAGTAGGTGCATGGGTTTGTTCATCACAGGCTAAATTCACCATGTTACACCATACTGCATGTTAGAGTCGACTCTCCTTTCGTTCCGTCGTATCACATCGCGAACGTACGCGTGAGCCACACGCTCTCGATGCAAGCGTGTTGAAGGTAACGCAACGTGAGCATGTTGACGTACACGCAATGCAAGAGTGTTGAAAAACTCGCGTGTTGATAAGTTCGTACCCATGCACAATGCACATGCAGCGCCACAACTAAAGGCAGGGGCTTGTCACGCTCGCGCTAAAAACTCATCCCAGCTAATGAACAGGGTGGTGGTGGTTACGGGTTTAAGGTGAGGAAGCAGACACGTTGACCACTTGTTTCACCTGGACTCATCAATGATTAGTTATTTCAAGTTTTCACCATATCTGGCCTCATTTCACTCTCACAGGTGTCCATCTTCAGATTGTTGACAATTTTCACAATGAGAAGTGACAATTGGCAGATTCTTATTTAATATGATACAATTCACTTGCTATAAGGTAGCTAGACGACCAGTTTTTGCAATAAACGTAGCAGTTGCTTTCATAATGGAGCGCTGGACTCTTCTGGGGAAGTTGCCTCCACCAAGGAGCACACGCACAGTTGTGTGAGGGACTCCCAGGGCATGAATACTTGAGACCATCTCCTGTCTAACTTGATCGTATTGAACACACGCAAGGAGAAAGTGTTCGATAGTTTCTTCAATCCCACAATGAAGGCACATGGGAGAGTCAGCCATGCCGAAACGATGGAGGTAGGAACGAACTCCAACATGACCAAGACGAAGGCGGGTTAAAACTACTGTGACTCGGCGATAGTGACTTGCAACCCATGGGACAGGAGACATTCAATCGTACAAGTTTCTCACGTATTTCATAGATAAGACTACAGCAGGTGCCAGTGGGGATATCAAAAGTTGTAAAGCAACAAGAGAGTCAGAACAAACTACCCACACAGGGAAGGGTTCCACCTCAATAATCTGCAGAGCCTGCAAAATTGCAATTAATTCAGCAGACAATATACCATGATGGGGGTTCAACCTCCATGCAGCAGCTTGCTTGGTAGATGGTATATAGAGACCACAACCAGTAGATGGACCATCAACCAATCGTGAGCCATCGCAGTATATTACCCTGTAGTTAGGGTACTTTATATCTAGATGTGCAGCAAAAAGACAGGGTGTGACATCCATAGAGCTTGTTTGGAAGTTGAGGCAGACAAGTGGGGACAAACAACACCAAGGCGGAACCGGATCAAGCACAGGAGTGGGCTGACCATGACATGGAGGGAGACCGAGTTCTTGCAGTATCCGTGGGCCATGTTGAAGTTCTGAGATCGTGTCACCAAAGACAACTTCAGAAGTTTTATCCCCATTTGGACGGTATTTTAAGCGAATATACATACTGGCTGCCAGATAATGACGTCTCAGGGCAAGAATATCAGCCTCCACATGGAGGGAGACTACGGGAGTGGTCCGACGGGCTCCAAGGATAAGTCGAAGGCATGCTTTCTGCCGGATTTCCATCTGCTCCAACTGAGCAGAAGAAGCTGCTGCATAAAGAATACTGCCATAATCTATCTTTGCTCTAATGTATGCGCAGTAAAATAGGCGCAAGAAACGAGAACTTGCCCCCCAGTTTAGAGAGGCCATATGTTTGAGCAAATCATACGTCTCATTACATCAATCCGCAGATACTTTAGACGTGGGATCCATCTGAGGCGAGGAGCATCAAGCACCATTCCAAGTAGTTTATGCTGACGTCTATATGTGATAGCTTGATGATGATATCGGAGTACTGGCACATTCACCATCTTAGTAGTGAAGTACTGGAAGACGGTTTTCTGAATATTCACCACAAGACCCCATGTTGTGCAGCATGTATGGAACTCACCCAAGTATCTCTGCATGAGAGATTTGGCAGTAAGCATATTTGGCCCCCG